TTTGATTTGGGTTTCCTTTTTTTTTAACACAGTTCAGAAGATCTCGAAGCCACATGGGTAAGTGTGTGGAGGTGGAATCAGACAGGAGGGCTGGAAGCAAAGGAGAGGTCTGGGCACTGGGGGCAAGTCCCCTTGGTTCTTTCTGCAACAGGCTGCCCAAAACGCTGCTCTCTGCTGAGCAGGGGAAAATGGACATGGGCTGGATGCTCCCTTGGGTCTCTCTACACCCATGGCCGAGGTCTCAGAGGGCAGAGCTGGGAGCAGCAGGCTTGGGAATGAAGCTGTCCTGCTTTGCTTCTGAGGAAAGAGGCACCAGCCTCGGGCTAGAAGCCAGGCTTAGTCTCCAGGCTGAGCTGGCAGCAGGAGCTCTCCTTCCAGTGCTTTCTCTAGGAGGCACCTGGTGCCTCTTCTCATGACAATCTCTGCTCCTGGCCCTCTTGCCCAGTAGCCACTAATGGCTCCTCCTCTCTCTCCCCAGTGCCCATCACCCTGGATGAAGCACAGAAACACTCGGAGCTTGCTGTGTCCTCTGACCGCAGAAGAGTCCAGCACAAGCCACCTGCCCAGCGGCCCATCACCGAGGGCCAGCTCCCCGTCGTGGTGGGGAGGGAGGGCTTTGCCTCTGGGCACCAGTACTGGGAGGTGCTGGTGGGAGATGGTCTGGACTGGGAGCTGGGGGTGCTGACGGAGCCTGTGAGGGGGACACTGAACGAGAGGAGGTGGGAGGAGCTCCCTGAGGATGGGGTCTGGTCGCTGAGAAGGGTGAGTGGGCAGTACTGGCCTGAGGAGGTCAATGACAAGATACTGTCCTGGAGCAGTGTCCAAATACCAGTGGTTGGGCTGTACCTGGACTTAGATCTGAGCACGCTCTCCTTCTACAACCTTGGGACTTGTGACTGCATCCTGGAAATCCCCATCAAAGGCCTTGAAGGGTCAACCAAGCTGTACCCTTTCCTCAGGCCAGGCCTTGGTGAGGCCGGAGAGGAGGGGAAACCCCTCACCATCAACCACAACACAGACTGGGACTTCCCAAACAGTCCAAAATAATACAGGAACATCTGACCTGAGCTGCACTAAATTTCCTGCATAACATTAGATTCCTCAGAAGGGAGAGAGCAGCAGAGCTGGTCAGTGAAAGCTCTACTTTGCTCCATGCAAACCCTGACAGTGAGAATTCAGACAAGTCTGGACTGGGAAATCCACCAAGACCAAGAACCCCACCTGAGCATGACATTTGCGGTGCCACGTGCTCCATCCCTTCCCCAGGTGAGCCATCGGGAACCATCAACCTGGGCCAAGGGTCTGCACCCACAGCTTCTGCAGTGAACACTGCCTTTGTTTCAACCACTCCCACAAGTTTCTACTCCATATTGCTCTTCATTAAATTGACAATAAAATAGGAAACAATGGTTTTTCTTGTGGTGCTGAGTGTTGGGATGTTTTGCTGACTCTCACTCTCTGGGACCTGTGGGTGACATTTAAAACGCTGATGAAGGGTGAGCCAAATCTTTCTTGCCCTGATTCCCTTAGACTCCCATATTCCAAAGTTTTCCTGAAAGGGGCCAGTTTTACTAGAGATCCCTAATCTTCAGAAATGGGGGTGTTCTCTTTTTTTACCCTGAGGTTTTCTGTCTGAGGGTGCGCTGATGAAGGGTGAGCCAAATCTTTCTTGCCCTGATTCCCTTAGACTCCCATATTCCAAAGTTTTCCTGAAAGGGGCCAGTTTTACTAGAGATCCCTAATCTTCAGAAATGGGGGTGTTCTCTTTTTTTACCCTGAGGTTTTCTGTCTGAGGGTGCCTGTTCTTCCCATGAGGTGCCTGGAGGAGAACAAAATAACCCAGAATAATCTTGCTGTTTCTCTGCAGCACAAATGCAAGTGCAGGTCCCCATATCAGGAGCCAACCCCAGTTCTGCCCAGCACGATGCAGACACAAGTGCAAATGCTGACAATGAAGCCACCGCAGAGCAGTCTCCCAGGGAGATTATTTGCATTTTTCCTTGTCCCACAGCTCTGAACTGTCCCTCCCACCCTGCTGTGCAACATGGGACATCTGGGGACACATGGGAGGATGGACAGACCCCTTGGGTTCTTCTGGCTGTACCCCTTTGGGGGATGTACAGGCATTAGGTCAAACCAGGGTCACATTTTGTGGGAGGTTTGAGAGGGCTGGTGGACCTTTCTGGCTGCTCTGGCCATGAGTGATTGTCCTGCTCTGTTCTCACAAGTAAGTTTGCTTGTTTTACAGCAAGTGTCTCAGAGGGGGAGTTATAGGGCTGTGACAATTAACCGCAACTTGATGAGCTTGTATCATAATGAGGAGTTGTGGTTTGCATGGCTTATTTTCTTATTAGTGTAACTTCTCCAAACTGTGAGATCAGATCCCTCTCTCAAGGGAAAGGACTGACCATCACAGGGTGCCAAACAGCTCTGATCATATCCCAGCTGGAATAATTTTTGTGTTTCAAGGGAAAAGTCATTCTGCTACAATTAGCAATGACCAGAGTCTTTCCTCCATCCCAGTGCACAGCTGGTATGGGCAGCGCCATGGGAGAGGAGAACAACCAAAAAAAAATCTAAGTGTGGTTTACCCAAAAAGTGAAAAAGTTAAGATGTTTTAACTGTAACAGTATTATTCTCTTTTTATTGGA